TTGTGGAGGATCAAAACATGTTCTGCTCATTATGTATGTGTGTGTGTGTTTTGTGTTGTCGTTTCTTAATAATGTGAAAAAAAGGCTTGTCTAGTGATTGCGTTTGAAGTCATTTATGTAGGTTTGGGTAAAACTATTCTCTAAACGAAGAGGTCATTTGCAAAAAAACTATCTTTGTTTTGAAAATGTGTCAAAAACTTGCATTCCTCTAGTAACAATCTACGGCTTGTTTCGTGTTATGCCGTAAACGTGAAAGGATTTGCCCACTTTAATTGTATGGCACTGAACTGAACTGAATTTCTCCATCTGTGTGAGACAATAAAGGATTAATTGATTGATAACCTGTATCTAGCTTTTCAAAAAACGACTTGGTAAACGGACAATTGTTAGTCTTTCTGATATTTTTTTTCTACTGACACTTATATTTGTCTGAGTTATAGGTTAAAATATGTTTTCCTCCTTAGAGTGGCTGGGTTCTTCCTGAGAGATTGGTTGAGGACCTCAGGCCATAAAAGGAATTGACGGATTCCCATGGATGAAGTGTGTTTGGATACGAAAATCTGGGTGTCTCTAATCCGTGTGGTGTTTGCATGTTCTCTCCATGTCTGCTCCAATTTCCTCCAGGTGCACCGGTTTCCCCAATCACTAAAAACATGTACAATAGTTCTGGCATGCACATCCTGTACTGGCGACCTCGCTCCAATCTCTGTGTGGAGTGAGAGACAAAATACCCACAACAATTGCGAAGCGCTTTGTGACTCCGGTCTGTGAAAGGCGCTGTATAAATAAGGATTATACTCACTTAATCACAATGCCATCTACTTGACCTGTCTCCAGACAAAGCAATGATCTACAGTGCGTTTTAATGACAACAGAAAATACTAATCACATCGTAATGGGCAAGAAGTGACAGAGTTTTAATTAACCAGGACTCAGTGTGGGGTGAGAGTCTAGTGTTTGCGCTGGTGGCTCCTATTACCATGCAGCAGACGTTTGGGTTCTCCATCAGGCAGCTCCAGATGATAAAGCCTTTTAATTGCATTTGTCACTCACTCACGGCTTGGCCTAACGAGTCTAACGAGTGACGGAGTAAAACCCTGCTGTTTGACCACATGCTCCACCCATGACTACAAGGCGCTGTAGGCTGGAGGGTGTACATGTGTTTTTCAATTTAATTCAATGTATTCTTGTTTAGCCCTAAATCACAACAGTAGTTATATGAGAGGACTTAACAAAATGGGTAAAATTGCCAACACAGATCAGAGAAAAAAGGGTTCCAAAAAATATAGAACACATAGGTATTGGTCCACTGGGAGTAGACCAATGTCCATGTGTTGATAAATGTTCATAAATGTTGTAGAATGTTGAGTGTCCAATGTGGTTTTACTGCAAATGGCAAATCAATTCTTGAATCTTGAATCTGCTATAATAAGTAAGTAAGTAAGAAAGTAAGTAAATGTTATTTATATAGCGTCTTTCACTCCACACAGAGATGGGAGCGGGGTTGCCATACAGCAGGCCCATACCAGATCTATTGGACATGTTTTTAGTGGGAGGGGGAAACCAGAGCACCTGGAGGAAACCTATCCAGACATGGGGAAAACATGCAAACACACACAAAAACGTCTGGAGGTGGTATTGAACCCAGGACCTTCTTATTTTCTTGTTTAATTAAAGGTTGAAGAAAAAAATGAAGACCATCCAGAAACCATGTTGGCTTTGGCCATGTACAAAAAAATAATAATTAAGATTGATTTGTGTGGCTTACAAGTTGTGTGCCTGAGTTGCTCCTTGTTTTTCCAAGACTGATCTCGTTTTTTCTTGAGCACCTTTTCACCAGGGTTTGATTGATTGTCACACAACACATACTGCCACATCTTTGTTTTGAGTGCACACATTGGAAAGGTCTATACATTCTTCTCCCCCAAATAATCAATGACACGTTTCTACACAAATTGCGCAATTATCGCGTCAATTAGGGGGATTATTCTATTGTCAATCTGATCGGTTGGCGGCAATTTGTATAATCACACGTATTTGTGGCGCTAAGACATTATCTCTTCGCGGAAACTTCAGGCTCTTAAGTGGTTGGAGGCTTTGCGAATGTTGAAACAGTGATTACGTTGGGTTCTCAGTGTTGGAATCATGTTTGTCTCTTTTATACATTGCCGTGATTTGTCTAGGGCCAGTGACGGAACATTTAGCAAAACACAACAACAACACAATTGAAGTTGCTTGAGTTTTCATTGTAAGGACTGAAGCGTGTATGTAGAATTTGCTCATGTCATAGTATAATGGGATACCACAAAAAACCTGTACAATAGATCTAAATATCTCAACTCTGAACATTGTAAACCACTTTGGGTGACCATGGTTTGTGAAACACTGTATATTCACAAAGATTACATACTACTAACTTAACATATATTTTCTAACAATTTATTTATTTGTATGTATGTATGCATTGATTTATTAGGGCTAAGTGTACATGATGTGAAACACTACGAAATATATAGCCAAGGCTAATTTGTACTGTCTGTCCCTATCTAAAAGTTATGTTAGCACGATTTAGGCATTGTATAATCAAAGAGAATTGCAGAAGACACTTTTTTCACATCTATATCCAGAGAGTTTGATTCCCCACTGTGTAGAGCCATGGACTCGATGCGTAAACTTTGCTGTTGTGATGTTTTTTCCCCCTTGCTTGCGCCCAGCCCTGTGGTATCATCTCAGTCGACGGTCTACATGCGACGTGAAGGTGGCACGATAAATAATTACGTGTGTGAGTGACAGTTCAGGTTAGACAGGGACAGGAAGCCCTCGTTAGCAGCATCCGTCCCGAGCTCAGTGTTTCAATGCCAATGTCAAATGTGCTGCCTATTAGTGCCACTTATATAGATGTGGTCCTATGGGGGAGAGGAGCCCATGCGACTGTGGACCCCGGCGATACCGAGCGACTGCGCCCTGCCATTCGCAAGGATATGTTTAATCCCAGGAGAGGGGGAAACTAGGAGCAGGGGATGAGTCTATTGGTGTGATATGCGATGTCAGAATGAAGCCTCGAGGCCGCACTCGTACCTGATAACATGGTAGTTTTATAGAAGCTTTGACATGTGAGGATGTAATTACAGATAGTGGGGGAAAGAAATGCAAAGGATGATGGGGTAATAAGACAGGCAGGGTTTGTGACACATGGTAAATGGGGTAATATGTTATGTGTGGTTGGGGAAAAGAGAAAATTGTTGTGTATTTTTTTTGGCGATGTAGATGAGTGGGTTGAAAGCTATATTTTAACAGTTTGGATACTTGTTGTGATTGGAAGGTTGTATATAGTCCCTCTACTTTACACAACCCCTATCTTTTTGCCTTGCTTTCTTGTGTTGGACCTCCTTATGCAATGTTGTTGAATATTACAACCAAAACATCAGCGTCATATTTTAAAATAAGCTAAAATCTTGTACAAATTGGCATGTATTGATGCATTGCGATTTCGATTCAACCATCTTTTTCCCATTACCTTTTGGTCTTCTTGTGGTAGACGTCTCGGACCTCCTTATGCATTTTTGCGGAATATTACAACCAAGACAACAGCGTCATATTTTAAAATAGGGCAAAAATATTTTTTTAACCTCATTTTTTATCCCATTACCACCCCGTCTCTTGGGAAGTCAGCTTTATTTTGATTTCAATTAATTATCACAGGAATGAGGGAAGAGCTATACAAGACACAGAGTGAATGGGGGACAGGGAGAAGAGTAAAGTGGCGAAAAATAGAAAAAGAGTGAGCAAATTTGCCTTTTTTTTTGCAGCCAAAACATGTTAACAAGGTAATACATCCTAACTTGTGTTTCAAAAGAACCAAAAAAAGCATTTTTAACTCAAGACAAAATGAACCTTTTAAATCAGTGAGCAAATTTGTTGAATTAGTTTGATATATATTTCAAACCTGCAGAACACAATTTCACATATCTTTACACTAATACAGAAACAAAGAGAGGGCGTAATTTGTCAACTTCAGTCTCTCTCCCTACTTCCTTCAGACAAGGTCAGAAATTTGGGGGTAATACTGGACTCAGACCTAAATTTCAATAGCCACATAAAATCAATAACATCAACAGCTTTTTACCATCTGAAGAACATTGCCAAAGTTAGAAATATATAGTGTCCAGGGCAGACTTGGAGATTCTTGTCCATGCATTTGTCTCCAGCAGGCTAGACTACTGCAATGGCCTGCTTACCGGTCTGTCCAAACAGACCTGTAAGCAGCTGCAGTACATCCAAAATGCAGCAGCTAGAGTCCTGACAGGAACCAGGAAGTATGACCATATTAGTCCGGTCCTCAGGTCTCTGCACTGGCTTCCTGTGGCTCAGAGAATAGATTTTAAAACAGCTCTGCTTGTGTACAAGTCTCTCCATGGCCTTGCACCAAAATACATCAGTGACATGTTGGTGTCATATGAACCGGCTCGGACTCTGAGGAGCACAGGGACTGGACTCCTGCTGGTGCCCAGAGTGAAAACCAAACATGGGGAGGCTGCGTTTCAGATCCATGCAGCTAAGATCTGGAACAATCTCCCTGAAAATGTGAGGGAGGCGTCTACTCTGTCAATGTTCAAATCCAGGTTAAAGACTGTTCTGTTTGCCTGTGCATACAACTGAAGGATTTTATCTCCATTTCTAATGCACTGTTGTCATTTATTTTATTTTTTTTAATTTCTTGTGTAATTTTGAAAGTTTTAATGGTTTTATTCTTTTGTGTGATTTTAATGTTTTAATTGTATTTTAATCTTTTGTGTGATTTTAATGTTTTAATTGTGATTCTGGTGTTTGTTTTATGTGATGATTTGTGATGTGGACTGTGAAGCGCTTTGTGTTGCCCTGTGTATGAAAGGCGCTCTACAAATAAACTTTGATTGATTGATTGAATACAGGTTTGAAAAGGCGTTGAATGAAGACTAAATGGCCGATTGAGAAAAGTAAAAAACGTTTGTGTTGGACAGGTGGCTGGGATAAAAGGGATGCTCATCGCAAACAAGAGGCAGGACAACCAGGTGAAGACGTACATCACGTACAACAAAGGCCGAGACTGGAGGCTGCTGCAGGCGCCCTCTTCTGACCTGGAGGGGAACAATCCTGGTGAGTGAGACTACACGTCAAATCTGATGTGCTTACCTTTTTTTTGATGTTTGTCCGAAAATAAGCCTTTTAAAAGTAGCATGCTGTCTTCATGGAAATCATTTTATAGTCATTATTTGACACTTTAGGCTGAGAGGTGATTGGCTTATAGTTAGTTTATAGCAATAGTTTGTTAACATCTCTATTACTTTACTGAAAATTGTGCAGAAAAATGCAGGACAAAATACATTCATGTGATAACTGGTTTATTGTATTTATTTAATCTTCAATTCAGACACACAAAGATGATATAACCAAAAACAGTGATACAACCAAACTCTTTATGTAGTTGAACAGTTTTGTGGTTGAAATATTGATATGAGATCTGGTTGTGTGGGCCACTGTGGTGTGGATAGCATAGTTGTGTGACAGCAATTAGATACAAATAAAAAAAAGTATTTGGACAACATTTGTCATAATGTTTTCGCTGTAACCGAATTGTATTTTGAAATGGGCCGATCTTTTAGAATCCATATACAAGTAATAAAAGCTCCTTAGATTCCGATCACATATCCTATCAGCGTTTCATGGTGCACCTATATGCAAGCTGACTCCAAATATGGAAGGTTTTCATTTCTTATCTTGTTCATGGGTTGTATGGTGTGATGAAAGCTCTGTGCATTCCCCATAGACGTACAGTGTTTTCAACAATAACAATCAGCTCTGTGACGTAGGAGCAATGATTGACTTTTTTCACATTAACAACTTAATGTCTATCTGTTGAGCAGATGTGCCAAAAAATAATAGACAGACACTTCCCTGAGAGTGAAATTGCGAGGACACGTTCTGCACCTTTTTTTTTATCACCTTTCAGCAAATTGCATTTTTTACTGATTGCTTTTGTTTCATTGCCTTGTGGTGAGACGACTAGACTTCAATTTACCGAAATAGAAATTATACTTTGAGAGGTATTTCTGGTTCCTCGGTACAACTTTACACATGAACTATGTTACAGTGGCACATAAAACTGCTGTAGTTAAAACGCTTGACCAAATAATATAGCTTTTGAAAGCCTCAACGGATCATACCAGAGTCTGGGAGTAGCAGCCTGGAAAGATCTGTCTCCTCTATCCCAAAGAGAAAAAAAAGACTATCATTGGGTTCTGATCCAGAGAGCTTGTGTATGAGAGAGAGTGGGATTAGATCAGTGATACAGTATAAGATAGAGTCCAACCATGCAAAACTCGGAAACTTTGAAATGTATCCCTTAGGAGAGTGGCAGCCAATTAATATGACTATGTAGTGGTATGTAGATCCTAAAATATGGGATACCTAACTCTTAACCGCAAGTAATGCAATAATAAAAATCCATCTTATTAGTTCCAAGCACTAAAACAGTTTTGGTTTGTATACATCTTTAGATCCGCTTTTTCAGACAGACAAGTGACAAATAGAGGGCCGCCCTCTCTCAGCCATTCAGAAGTGACTCTTTGTCACATTTCCAAAATGTTGTGCCCAAAATTCAATCCTGCAAAATATATATACATTATAATAAACAAAAATCCAAAAACAAAACTCAACTGAATATAAAACAAAGGAACTGAGGACGAAGACAAAAATCACGGAACAAACACCTAATGGACTGAGCTCTGGAATGGAGGGAATGGAGGGAATTTAATTGGGAAACACACCAGGGCGGGGCAGGCAGAACAGAACAGGAAGTAAAACTCAAAAAGACACAGGAAAATAAAGATAAAATACACAGACAATACAACATAAAACAGGAACTAAAAATGACAACCATGCAACTCTTAAGGTTTTTTGTTACTTCAGCAATAGTTGCAGGTAGCTTGTTTACTAATATGATGGAGGCTGAATATTGTGCGCTGATTTTTGCGATGCAGCGGCTGTGGGCCTTTTATTATTATTATTATTAACAAGAAAGACAAGACAAAGAACATACACGCAACAATATAGCTCATACCCATTCTCAACATTTGCCAGTACAAATCCCCATCAGCTCGTGTTGTTAGCGTGCAGGCGTGTGGCTGTGCAGACACCGCTGCTTCTGCTCATTACGGCGCCTCCCCGCCTCTTCAGCGAGCGCAAACATCTATCCAAACATCCTTTACACGTGTTACAGGAAAAGGTGCACACGCTGTTTAACCGGTGAACACTGATCCTCGCCGGTTCACCAGGGCACTACATTCTCCTGACAACTTAATTACATCTGCAGATTCCTTTCAATTGTCCTGTGCGCGCCCCCAGTTTTTGATGTTCTTTCACCGTGACACGCTGTCGGTGCCGCTGCTATCAAATCGGCGCTGGTTGAGTCTCTGCACAAATCCGATCTGCTGCTGTTTTTTTCTGCAGCCCCCCGAGAGACACTGCTTCACAGTCTAATGTAAGCCGGCTGTGTCTTTTGTTTTAATGACAGATTAAATGCAATTAGTAAAATTTATGAAGGCGCAGTTGCTTCTCTTTGGGAGTCTCATTAATCTAACGTGGGTTTCTAAGTATGACTTTTGTTTTTGTTGGACCCGTCGTTTTTCCGAGTGAAGAATGAGCTCGTCTGACGTTCCCTGGGGCCTAAGTGCGCAACACAATGTGCAACAGGAAGGAAGAAGTCATCGTAGAGACTTTGATAACTGAGATTCAAAATGGATTACACCGCTGATTAGAATGCCATCAGACTAAATGTATTATTTTAGTCTAAGCTAATAAAATCAGTCAAGGCCCAAAGTTTAATGAGATTGCGTAAATAGCCTGACAGGAATGCATTGTGATGTCTGCGTTTCATGTAATTCAATTCCATTTAAAGTGAACTTGCTCAGTGTGTTTTGCTGTTGAGAAATTGGTCACAAAAACGAATCAGAAAATGTGTTGATCCAAACAGAAAACATAAGAGTTCAGGAAGAGCTTAGTGAATGGTGTTTGGGTTAGGGAGATTTTATTGGCTGTGGAAGGGTTTTCTACCCAGATCAAAGTTCAAGGTTCAAGATTCCACTTAATTGACACCTAAAGGAAATTAGTCTCAGACTGACAGAAATGTTGGACTCAAACATACAAGACACTCTCAACATAACAACAAACGGTTCTTTCAACAGGCCATAATTGTCCCATCAATGCAAGGATCCAAATCAATATTTAAGACAATTAATAAGAGGATATACACATTTATCCTACCACTAAAAACATTTACAAAGGGTCTGGCATGAGCCTTCTGTACGGCAACCCCTCTCACATCTCTGTGGGAATTGAGAGAAAAAACAACACAATAATTGGGCGGCACGGTGAGTGGATAGGACTTTCTGAGTGGCGTTTGCATGTTGTCCCTGTGCTTGCGTAGGTTTCCTCCGGGTGCTCCGGTTTTCCCCTACCACTAAAAACATGCACATTAGGTTAAATCCTCCAGCTATGGTAGTCCTAACCAAGCCGAGCATCAACATCTGGAGATGGGTTTCTGGGCGCTGTACTACGGCGACCGCTGCTCCTGACGTAAGCCTTAGTGGCATCAGGATGGGTCAAATGCAGATGATGAATTGCCCTATGGGGATCAATAAAGTACCTTTACCTAATTGTAAAGCGCTTTGTGAGACCGGTCTGTGGAAGGCGCTATATAAATCAAGATCACCAAAGATCATTACTTACTTTTCTGTCCTGAATCTAAATGTAAACACCCTGCGTAACCAAAAATCTTTCTATATTGCTCTGTAGAACATTGTTCTGTGAGAAACAACCCACGTCACAATTTCTCAAGTTGCTAATTAGTAAAACTTAAGCAAGAGTGAATTTGAGTGTCAAACAGTATCTGCCCTCTCTACTCACTGGTGATGGCCGAATTACAAAAATAATGTTGTTTTCCTTACTGGGTCTGAAGAATTTCTTTGAAATGGACCAACACAAACTCTGAGGCTAAAAAGTCACAAGATAAATTCCTTTCTCTTTTTCTGCCGCAGCCTTTCTGTTCGCTCCATCTTCAGCTGCAGATGTCTGAAAACCCCTACTTGTCTGGAGCCATCACCACCAAGAGCTCTGCACCGGGGATTATCGTGGCCACAGGTGAGACCCCAGATCTGCAGTCCAGGCGGCCAGTAACACATAATGGTTATTCGCTCTAAAGCTGTTGACAATCCAGGCTCTCTATGGGGACATTAGCGCTGAAGTATTTCAGAATCAGGCAGCAGGGGTGTTAAAAACCTCAACACAAGTCCTTTCTTCTCTCTTTATATTTATCCAACAAAGTAACCCTGCAACTATTTTTTATTTTACTTCCCAATGATTTATCTGACAATGATGCTCGATGCCATATAATAAATATCCCTCACTAATGAACAGCTAATGAACTCATTGACCGCCAGCCGTTTTTGATGATTTAACTGGTTTTCAAGACCCATTTTTAAGACTATTGTGTGCTATGAATGAAATACAAAACCAGATTCTGAAAGACTGGACTGTCTACTTTCATCAGCAATTATAATGTTGTTTCTGTAATTCCCAGTCAAATAGAGGGGAGTGTGACAGAAATCACCAGTCTCAGACAAAAAGCTGGGAAAATGAGGTGTTGGTGAAAACAGAAGCTCCATGCAGAAAAAGTGATTTTAGCACTATTTAGTTTTTACTTTAGTGTCTCCTCATACATGTCCAGCATCCTACATGCTAGAAAATGGCCAAAACAACTCATGAGAAAGTGTTTTTGATGCAAAATAATAGGTTTTATAGCACCCACATCCACAAAGAGTTGCTTGAATATTTTAGATTTCATGTACATTTTGTCAGTTAGTAGTTAGTTAGAGATTGAATAAGTCATGTAATAATAAGGAAAAATATATGCTTAATTAATACCTATTATGAGCTAATTAACCATAAATTATACTTTTATTAGCACTTAAATAGCTGTTAATTAGTGAGGGCTAAACTTGTGTGAGGGCTAAAGTGTTACTATTTTTTCAGTTTTGCACACGTAACAAAAAGGGATCAAAGTTTGCTCCTCAGCAGCGTCAGTGAAACCGCGTGCGTCCGTGTGTTCAGATGTGCTTTGTATTTGTGCAGTAAATCCTTGAATAAACATAAAAGTTTTCTGATGGATCCACGACAACATGTCATCTGGCACCAAATGGGAAAAAAAAAAAACCCAAAATGGCCGCTGTGACAAAAGACAGAAGGACCAAACACTAGTCTATTTGTGTTGGGATCTGGCCAAGACAATCGGGAGAGATCTGAGGCGGCTGCGGCTTCAGTCACTCCGAACTCAAGGATACAGACTGAGCGAGTCTTCACACCCGCCATCCACTTGTCACAGCGCGTTAGCTTTGCCACGTAACCTTGGCATCTAAGTAACTGCATGTATTATTGAAATGCTCAGGGATCCACACAAGGATGACTCAGCCAATAGTTACAACAACAAGTATTAAACCAAGAAGAACAGACAGTACTTTGGAGGGAGAGAGATGTCTGCTTTGTAGTTGTGGTTTAATACACTTTCAAGGATGGGGCGCCTAACATTTTTTAAACCGCTATACAGTAACATTTATCAAACTACTTTCACACTCTCCTAGCAGGTTGGTTATGTCGCCTGTTTTCATGCAATTTTTTCGAATAGAAAAATGAAAAAGAGAGGACCAGCCTCAATCAAAGTGTCAAATAGTGACTCACATGGCTTTTTCCCGCAAGTTTGCAAAAGGTAACATTTGAGACAGTGTGTTATGTCGTGGTATGATCTATTCACAAACTTTTACTTCAGGACTAAACATGGGGAGGTAGCATTTCAGATATGCAACTAAATTCCAGAACAGTCTTCTTGAGAATGTGAGACTGACTTCTACGCTGATTTTGATGTGCAAATCCAGGTTGAAAACAGTTTTGTTTAGAGGTGCATACATTTGCTGGATTGTGAGCATGGCACGGTGGCTGAGTAGATAGCACTCTCGCTTCTCAGATAGAAGGTCCTGGCTTTGAATCCCGATCGGAACAGTATCTTTCTGAGTGTAGTTTGCATGTTCTCCCCGGGTCTGCGTATGTTTCAATATTTTAATGTACTGGGATTAGTTAATTAGGCACTTTGAGTTGCCTTGTGTTTGAACTGTGCTATAGTAATGATCTTGCCTTTTCTCTTTGAACCAAACACAAATTTAGATACCTCATCTCTAAAAGTGTACATATTATGGCTATACTTTTTTACATAATGCAGCTAAATATATATATGCATTCAACAAATCTATCTGTGAAGCTTGTCACTGTTTCTTTTTCCTACTATATAATTATCCAGGCATTTTTTGGCGTAGAGTCTGTCACTTTCAAAACACCATGAGACCTGAAATTCCCTATTCATTTTACAGCGTCTTTTGAATTGGCTTCTACATGCGGGAAAAAAAATGTATAGGTGGATTTTGTTTGTGGATCTTTTGATGTGTCATACATTCTATATTCTTTTTCCTTCAGGTAACATCGGCCCGGAGCTATCCTTCAACAACGTGGGTATGTTCATCTCCTCTGATGCTGGGAACAGCTGGAGACAGGTGAGGCGCGCGCCGGGATTGGGTCATTTCCATATGCATGAAGGCAGGACGCCACAGGCTCAGCAGCGTGGATGCTTAGTGAACTAGGAAGCCTCACTCCAAGCATTCATTATTGCCATGCGAGATCATCACCGGCATTGGAATCCTGGTATTAGGGTTGCGTTTGTATTTGTCCGCTGTTTTACAGTCATAACTTGTCTGGCATATTTGTAATTAATAAACACATTGACTATTACCCAGAAGTAACTTTGCACGCATGTTGTCTGCTGTCTATGACAAATGTGACATATACATTTCCCTCCAGTGTGAGATCAGAGATCTAATCTTATCTTATAGCATTGCAGAGTCGTATGAAGAGAATGGCAGTTACACCTTATGTATTACATCAAGATTATATGATTGTATTAACTCAACAGAAACAAATAAAAATTGCCTTACAGCTCTAAATTTAAATACTGACTCACAGGGCTCTTTTGTTTACATATGGACAATATAAACTCCTTTCTACTAAGATGAAGACAGCATGTTTATTTCACATTTTGCATTTTCTTGTTCTATTGTCAATTGTGTCATCTTTATTTGTATTGCCCATTTACAACAACACCAAGCTGCCCAAAGTGCTTCACAGGCACAACATATATGAAAAATCGAAAATAGCATCAAATACACACAACTACATGTAACTAGTGTAGGGTGAGAAAATGTCGATATCACACATAACTTAAGTTATGTACCTGATATCGGAGAATTGGATAAAAAAACAACCATGTAATAAATACAATAATTGATAATAGCTTTATTTAGGGGCACCAGGGAATAACTCCCAACTGATAACGTGCATATGACGTCACAATATCAATTAATTGGCTCATTTATTGATTAAGTAATCTCATGAGTCCTTTCATTATTTAATTAGCTAGTTAGTCCAATTCTCTTCAATAGAATCTGAAGGTAATGAATTCTTTTACAAATCAGTGACCCAATTTCTGGAGTTAAAAGTACAAATATCACTTTCAGACAAAGATGGTTTTGTAGATTTAATGAAGTATACACAATACAGACTAGATATGAATTATGCAAATTGTCAAGAATAACATGAAGGAAACGTTGATTTCAAGATACATTGTTAAAATGCTAGGCTAAAGTGAGCTAAGCAAGACCTTTGTCTATGAATGGATTGGTATAGGCTGAGGCCTGCATGTGTTCAGCCTTGGTAAGAGAAGTATTCTTTGAAGTATAGGTTTTAATAAAGCCAACAACTGTGTGTAGCAAGAGAGCAGATCATACAACCATCAAAAACCCGCTTTGGTGAATAGCGAGTCCTTGGGTCTTGATGGCGTTGGATAGGAGGCTTCTTGTCCAGGGGGCCTGGACCATCTTAGATGGCCTCAAACCTCAGCTCCACGTTTGAGAGGACTTCCACAACCCTTCAATAGCCTCCAGCTTCAACCTGAAGAAGTTTTGGCATCTAGACTGTGGATCGTGGGAGGACCACATGATGCAGCCGCATGGTCCAGGCCCCCTGGACAAGAAGCCTCCATCCAACGCCATCAAGACCCAAGGACTGCTATTCACCAAAGGCTGTTTGATGGTTGTATGATCTGCTCTCTTGCTACACACAGTTGTTGGCTTTATTAAAACCTATACTTCAAAGAATACTTCTCTTACCAAGGCTGAACACATGCAGGCCTCAGCCTATACCAATCCATTCATAGACAAAGGTCTTGCTTAGCTCACTTTAGCCTAGCATTTTAACAATGTATCTTGAAATCAACGTTTCCTTCATGTTATTCTTGACAATTTGCATAATTCATATCTAGTCTGTATTGTGTATACTTCATTAAATCTACAAAACCATCTTTGTCTGAAAGTGATATTTGTACTTTTAACTCCAGAAATTGGGTCACTGATTTGTAAAAGAATTCACTACCTTCAGATTCTATTGAAGAGAATTGGACTAACTAGCTAATTAAATAATGAAAGGACTCATGAGATTACTTAATCAATAAATGAGCCAATTAATTGATATTGTGACGTCATATGCACGTTATCAGTTGGGAGTTATTCCCTGGTGCCCCTAAATAAAGCTATTATCAATTATTGTATTTATTACATGGTTGTTTTTTTATCCAATTCTCCGATATCAGGTACATAACTTAAGTTATGTGTGATATCGACATTTTCTCACCCTACACTAGTTACATGTAGTTGTGTGTATTTGATGCTATTTTCGATTTTTCATATATGTTGTGCCTGTGAAGCACTTTGGGCAGCTGGTGTTGTTGTAAATGGGCAATACAAATAAAGATGACATTGACATTGACAATAGAACAAGTCTTGCAAATGCAAAATGTGAAATAACATGCTGTCTTCATCTTAGTAGAAAGGAGTTTATATTGTCCATATGTAAACAAAAGAGCCCTGTGAGTCAGTATTTAAATTTAGAGCTGTAAGGCAATTTTTATTTGTTTCTGTTGAGTTAATACAATCATATAATCTTGATGTATTACATAAGGAGTAACTGCCATTCTCTCATACGACTCTGCAATGCTATAAGATAAGATAAGATCTCTGATCTCACACTGGAGAAATGTATATGTCACATTTGTCATAGACAGCAGACAACATGCGTGCAAAGTTACTTCTGGGTAATAGTCAATGTGTTTATTAATTACAAATATGCCAGACAAGTTATGACTGTAAAACAGCGGACAAATACAAACGCAACCCTAATACCAGGATTCCAATGCCGGTGATGATCTCGCATGGCAATAATGAATGCTTGGAGTGAGGCTTCCTAGTTCACTAAGCATCCACGCTGCTGAGCCTGTGGCGTCCTGCCTTCATGCATATGGAAATGACCCAATCCCGGCGCGCGCCTCACCTGTCTCCAGCTGTTCCCAGCATCAGAGGAGATGAACATACCCACGTTGTTGAAGGATAGCTCCGGGCCGATGTTACCTGAAGGAAAAAGAATATAGAATGTATGACACATCAAAAGATCCACAAACAAAATCCACCTATACATTTTTTTTCCCGCATGTAGAAGCCAATTCAAAAGACGCTGTAAAATGAATAGGGAATTTCAGGTCTCATGGTGTTTTGAAAGTGACAGACTCTACGCCAAAAAATGCCTGGATAATTATATAGTAGGAAAAAGAAACAGTGACAAGCTTCACAGATAGATTTGTTGAATGCATATATATATTTAGCTGCATTATGTAAAAAAGTATAGCCATAATATGTACACTTTTAGAGATGAGGTATCTAAATTTGTGTTTGGTTCAAAGAGAAAAGGCAAGATCATTACTATAGCACAGTTCAAACACAAGGCAACTCAAAGTGCCTAATTAACTAATCCCAGTACATTAAAATATTGAAACATACGCAGACCCGGGGAGAACATGCAAACTACACTCAGAAAGATACTGTTCCGATCGGGATTCAAAGCCAGGACCTTCTATCTGAGAAGCGAGAGTGCTATCTACTCAGCCACCGTGCCATGCTCACAATCCAGCAAATGTATGCACCTCTAAACAAAACTGTTTTCAACCTGGATTTGCACATCAAAATCAGCGTAGAAGTCAGTCTCACATTCTCAAGAAGACTGTTCTGGAATTTAGTTGCATATCTGAAATGCTACCTCCCCATGTTTAGTCCTGAAGTAAAAGTTTGTGAATAGATCATACCACGACATAACACACTGTCTCAAATGTTACCTTTTGCAAACTTGCGGGAAAAAGCCATGTGAGTCACTATTTGACACTTTGATTGAGGCTGGTCCTCTCTTTTTCATTTTTCTATTCGAAAAAATTGCATGAAAACAGGCGACATAACCAACCTGCTAGGAGAGTGTGAAAGTAGTTTGATAAATGTTACTGTATAGCGGTTTAAAAAATGTTAGGCGCCCCATCCTTGAAAGTGTATTAAACCACAACTACAAAGCAGACATCTCTCTCCCTCCAAAGTACTGTCTGTTCTTCTTGGTTTAATACTTGTTGTTGTAACTATTGGCTGAGTCATCCTTGTGTGGATCCCTGAGCATTTCAATAATACATGCAGTTACTTAGATGCCAAGGTTACGTGGCAAAGCTAACGCGCTGTGACAAGTGGATGGCGGGTGTGAAGACTCGCTCAGTCTGTATCCTTGAGTTCGGAGTGACTGAAGCCGCAGCCGCCTCAGATCTCTCCCGATTGTCTTGGCCAGATCCCAACACAAATAGACTAGTGTTTGGTCCTTCTGTCTTTTGTCACAGCGGCCATTTTGGGTTTTTTTTTTTTCCCATTTGGTGCCAGATGACATGTTGTCGTGGATCCATCAGAAAACTTTTATGTTTATTCAAGGATTTACTGCACAAATACAAAGCACATCTGAACACACGGACGCACGCGGTTTCACTGACGCTGCTGAGGAGCAAACTTTGATCCCTTTTGTTACGTGTGCAAAACTGAAAAAATAGTAACACTTTAGCCCTCACACAAGTTTAGCCCTCACTAATTAACAGCTATTTAAGTGCTAATAAAAGTATAATTTATGGTTAATTAGCTCATAATAGGTATTAATTAAGCATATATTTTTCCTTATTATTACATGACTTATTCAATCTCTAACTAACTACTAACTGACAAAATGTACATGAAATCTAAAATATTCAAGCAACTCTTTGTGGATGTGGGTGCTATAAAACCTATTATTTTGCATCAAAAACACTTTCTCATGAGTTGTTTTGGCCATTTTCTAGCATGTAGGATGCTGGACATGTATGAGGAGACACTAAAGTAAAAACTAAATAGTGCTAAAATCACTTTTTCTGCATGGAGCTTCTGTTTTCACCAACACCTCATTTTCCCAGCTTTTTGTCTGAGACTGGTGATTTCTGTCACACTCCCCTCTATTTGACTGGGAATTACAGAAACAACATTATAATTGCTGATGAAAGTAGACAGTCCAGTCTTTCAGAATCTGGTTTTGTATTTCATTCATAGCACACAATAGTCTTAAAAATGGGTCTTGAAAACCAGTTAAATCATCAAAAACGGCTGGCGGTCAATGAGTTCATTAGCTGTTCATTAGTGAGGGATATTTATTATATGGCATCGAGCATCATTGTCAGATAAATCATTGGGAAGTAAAATAAAAAATAGTTGCAGGGTTACTTTGTTGGATAAATATAAAGAGAGAAGAAAGGACTTGTGTTGAGGTTTTTAACACCCCTGCTGCCTGATTCTGAAATACTTCAGCGCTAATGTCCCCATAGAGAGCCTGGATTGTCAACAGCTTTAGAGCGAATAACCATTATGTGTTACTGGCCGCCTGGACTGCAGATCTGGGGTCTCACCTGTGGCCACGATAATCCCCGGTGCAGAGCTCTTGGTGGTGATGGCTCCAGACAAGTAGGGGTTTTCAGACATCTGCAGCTGAAGATGGAGCGAACAGAAAGGCTGCGGCAGAAAAAGAGAAAGGAATTTATCTTGTGACTTTTTAGCCTCAGAGTTTGTGTTGGTCCATTTCAAAGAAATTCTTCAGACCCAGTAAGGAAAACAACATTATTTTTGTAATTCGGCCATCACCAGTGAGTAGAGAGGGCAGATACTGTTTGACACTCAAATTCACTCTTGCTTAAGTTTTACTAATTAGCAACTTGAGAAATTGTGACGTGGGTTGTTTCTCACAGAACAATGTTCTACAGAGCAATATAGAAAGATTTTTGGTTACGCAGGGTGTTTACATTTAGATTCAGGACAGAAAAGTAAGTAATGATCTTTGGTGATCTTGATTTATATAGCGCCTTCCACAGACCGGTCTCACAAAGCGCTTTACAATTAGGTAAAGGTACTTTATTGATCCCCATAGGGCAATTCATCATCTGCATTTGACCCATCCTGATGCCACTAAGGCTTACGTCAGGAGCAGCGGTCGCCGTAGTACAGCGCCCAGAAACCCATCTCCAGATGTTGATGCTCGGCTTGGTTAGGACTACCATAGCTGGAGGATTTAACCTAATGTGCATGTTTTTAGTGGTAGGGGAAAACCGGAGCACCCGGAGGAAACCTACGCAAGCACAGGGACAACATGCAAACGCCACTCAGAAAGTCCTATCCACTCACCGTGCCGCCCAATTATTGTGTTGTTTTTTCTCTCAATTCCCACAGAGATGTGAGAGGGGTTGCCGTACAGAAGGCTCATGCCAGACCCTTTGTAAATGTTTTTAGTGGTAGGATAAATGTGTATATCCTCTTATTAATTGTCTTAAATATTGATTTGGATCCTTGCATTGATGGGACAATTATGGCCTGTTGAAAGAACCGTTTGTTGTTATGTTGAGAGTGTCTTGTATGTTTGAGTCCAACATTTCTGTCAGTCTGAGACTAATTTCCTTTAGGTGTCAATTAAGTGGAATCTTGAACCTTGAACTTTGATCTGGGTAGAAAACCCTTCCACAGCCAATAAAATCTCCCTAACCCAAACACCATTCACTAAGCTCTTCCTGAACTCTTATGTTTTCTGTTTGGATCAACACATTTTCTGATTCGTTTTTGTGACCAATTTCTCAACAGCAAAACACACTGAGCAAGTTCACTTTAAATGGAATTGAATTACATGAAACGCAGACATCACAATGCATTCCTGTCAGGCTATTTACGCAATCTCATTAAACTTTGGGCCTTGACTGATTTTATTAGCTTAGACTAAAATAATACATTTAGTCTGATGGCATTCTAATCAGCGGTGTAATCCATTTTGAATCTCAGTTATCAAAGTCTCTACGATGACTTCTTCCTTCCTGTTGCACATTGTGTTGCGCACTTAGGCCCCAGGGAACGTCAGACGAGCTCATTCTTCACTCGGAAAAACGACGGGTCCAACAAAAACAAAAGTCATACTTAGAAACCCACGTTAGATTAATGAGACTCCCAAAGAGAAGCAACTGCGCCTTCATAAATTTTACTAATTGCATTTAATCTGTCATTAAAACAAAAGACACAGCCGGCTTACATTAGACTGTGAAGCAGTGTCTCTCGGGGGGCTGCAGAAAAAAAACAGCAGCAGATCGGATTTGTGCAGAGACTCAACCAGCGCCGATTTGATAGCAGCGGCACCGACAGCGTGTCACGGTGAAAGAACATCAAAAACTGGGGGCGCGCACAGGACAATTGAAAGGAATCTGCAGATGTAATTAAGTTGTCAGGAGAATGTAGTGCCCTGGTGAACCGGCGAGGATCAGTGTTCACCGGTTAAACAGCGTGTGCACCTTTTCCTGTAACACGTGTAAAGGATGTTTGGATAGATGTTTGCGCTCGCTGAAGAGGCGGGGAGGCGCCGTAATGAGCAGAAGCAGCGGTGTCTGCACAGCCACACGCCTGCACGCTAACAACACGAGCTGATGGGGATTTGTACTGGCAAATGTTGAGAATGGGTATGAGCTATATTGTTGCGTGTATGTTCTTTGTCTTGTCTTTCTTGTTAATAATAATAATAATAAAAGGCCCACAGCCGCTGCATCGCAAAAATCAGCGCACAATATTCAGCCTCCATCATATTAGTAAACAAGCTACCTGCAACTATTGCTGAAGTAACAAAAAACCTTAAGAGTTGCATGGTTGTCATTTTTAGTTCCTGTTTTATGTTGTATTGTCTGTGTATTTTATCTTTATTTTCCTGTGTCTTTTTGAGTTTTACTTCCTGTTCTGTTCTGCCTGCCCCGCCCTGGTGTGTTTCCCAATTAAATTCCCTCCATTCCCTCCATTCCAGAGCTCAGTCCATTAGGTGTTTGTTCCGTGATTTTTGTCTTCGTCCTCAGTTCCTTTGTTTTATATTCAGTTGAGTTTTGTTTTTGGATTTTTGTTTATTATAATGTATATATATTTTGCAGGATTGAATTTTGGGCACAACATTTTGGAAATGTGACAAAGAGTCACTTCTGAATGGCTGAGAGAGGGCGGCCCTCTATTTGTCACTTGTCTGTCTGAAAAAGCGGATCTAAAGATGTATACAAACCAAAACTGTTTTAGTGCTTGGAACTAATAAGATGGATTTTTATTATTGCATTACTTGCGGTTAAGAGTTAGGTATCCCATATTTTAGGATCTACATACCACTACATAGTCATATTAATTGGCTGCCACTCTCCTAAGGGATACATTTCAAAGTTTCCGAGTTTTGCATGGTTGGACTCTATCTTATACTGTATCACTGATCTAATCCCACTCTCTCTCATACACAAGCTCTCTGGATCAGAACCCAATGATAGTCTTTTTTTTCTCTTTGGGATAGAGGAGACAGATCTTTCCAGGCTGCTACTCCCAGACTCTGGTATGATCCGTTGAGGCTTTCAAAAGCTATATTATTTGGTCAAGCGTTTTAACTACAGCAGTTTTATGTGCCACTGTAACATAGTTCATGTGTAAAGTTGTACCGAGGAACCAGAAATACCTCTCAAAGTATAATTTCTATTTCGGTAAATTGAAGTCTAGTCGTCTCACCACAAGGCAATGAAACAAAAGCAATCAGTAAAAAATGCAATTTGCTGAAAGGTGATAAAAAAAAAGGTGCAGAACGTGTCCTCGCAATTTCACTCTCAGGGAAGTGTCTGTCTATTATTTTTTGGCACATCTGCTCAACAGATAGACATTAAGTTGTTAATGTGAAAAAAGTCAATCATTGCTCCTACGTCACAGAGCTGATTGTTATTGTTGAAAACACTGTACGTCTATGGGGAATGCACAGAGCTTTCATCACACCATACAACCCATGAACAAGATAAGAAATGAAAACCTTCCATATTTGGAGTCAGCTTGCATATAGGTGCACCATGAAACGCTGATAGGATATGTGATCGGAATCTAAGGAGCTTTTATTACTTGTATATGGATTCTAAAAGATCGGCCCATTTCAAAATACAATTCGGTTACAGCGAAAACATTATGACAAATGTTGTCCAAATACTTTTTTTTTTTATTTGTATCTAATTGCTGTCACACAACTATGCTATCCACACCACAGTGGCCCACACAACCAGATCTCATATCAATATTTCAACCACAAAACTGTTCAACTACATAAAGAGTTTGGTTGTATCACTGTTTTTGGTTATATCATCTTTGTGTGTCTGAATTGAAGATTAAATAAATACAATAAACCAGTTATCACATGAATGTATTTTGTCCTGCATTTTTCTGCACAATTTTCAGTAAAGTAATAGAGATGTTAACAAACTATTGCTATAAACTAACTATAAGCCAATCACCTCTCAGCCTAAAGTGTCAAATAATGACTATAAAATGATTTCCATGAAGACAGCATGCTACTTTTAAAAGGCTTATTTTCGGACAAACACAAAAAAAAGGTAAGCACATCAGATTTGACGTGTAGTCTTCACTCACCAGGATGCAGTGGATGTCATTCCCCTCCAGGTCAGAAGAGGGCGCCTGCAGCAGCCTCCAGTCTCGGCCTTTGTTGTACGTGATGTACGTCTTCACCTGGTTGTCCTGCCTCTTGTTTGCGATGAGCATCCCTTTTATCCCAGCCACCTGTCCAACACAAACGTTTATTTACTTTTCTCAATCGAAATGGCATTCCATCAAATCGGTATACACTACACTACAACACTATTGAGTTTATTGTTTGTTTTTTTGGCCAATTAGTCTTCATTCAACGCCTTTTCAAACCTGTATTCAATCAATCAATCAAAGTTTATTTGTAGAGCGCCTTTCATACACAGGGCAACACAAAGCGCTTCACAGTCCACATCACAAATCATCACATAAAACAAACACCAGAATCACAATTAAAACATTAAAATCACACAAAAGATTAAAATACAATTAAAACATTAAAATCACACAAAAGAATAAAACCATTAAAACTTTCAAAATTACACAAGAAATTAAAAAAAATAAAATAAATGACAACAGTGCATTAGAAATGGAGATAAAATCCTTCAGTTGTATGCACAGGCAAACAGAACAGTCTTTAACCTGGATTTGAACATTGACAGAGTAGACGCCTCCCTCACATTTTCAGGGAGATTGTTCCAGATCTTAGCTGCATGGATCTGAAACGCAGCCTCCCCATGTTTGGTTTTCACTCTGGGCACCAGCAGGAGTCCAGTCCCTGTGCTCCTCAGAGTCCGAGCCGGTTCATATGACACCAACATGTCACTGATGTATTTTGGTGCAAGGCCATGGAGAGACTTGTACACAAGCAGAGCTGTTTTAAAATCTATTCTCTGAGCCACAGGAAGCCAGTGCAGAGACCTGAGGACCGGACTAATATGGTCATACTTCCTGGTTCCTGTCAGGACTCTAGCTGCTGCATTTTGGATGTACTGCAGCTGCTTACAGGTCTGTTTGGACAGACCGGTAAGCAGGCCATTGCAGTAGTCTAGCCTGCTGGAGACAAATGCATGGACAAGAATCTCCAAGTCTGCCCTGGACACTATATTTCTAACTTTGGCAATGTTCTTCAGATGGTAAAAAGCTGTTGATGTTATTGATTTTATGTGGCTATTGAAATTTAGGTCTGAGTCCAGTATTACCCCCAAATTTCTGACCTTGTCTGAAGGAAGTAGGGAGAGAGACTGAAGTTGACAAATGACGCCCTCTCTTTGTTTCTGTATTAGTGTAAAGATATGTGAAATTGTGTTCTGCAGGTTTGAAATATATATCAAACTAATTCAACAAATTTGCTCACTGATTTAAAAGGTTCATTTTTTCTTGAGTTAAAATGATTTTTTTGGTTCTTTTGAAACACAAGTTAGGATGTATTACCTTGTTAACATGTTTTGGCTGCAAAAAAAAAGGCAAATTTGCTCACTCTTTTTCTATTTTTCGCCACTTTACTCTTCTCCCTGTCCCCCATTCACTCTGTGTCTTGTATAGCTCTTCCCTCATTCCTGTGATAATTAATTGAAATCAAAATAAAGCTGACTTCCCAAGAGACGGGGTGGTAATGGGATAAAAAATGAGGTTAAAAAAATATTTTTGCCCTATTTTAAAATATGACGCTGTTGTCTTGGTTGTAATATTCCGCAAAAATGCATAAGGAGGTCCGAGACGTCTACCACAAGAAGACCAAAAGGTAATGGGAAAAAGATGGTTGAATCGAAATCGCAAATGCATCAATACATGCCAATTTGTACAAGATTTTAGCTTATTTTAAAATATGACGCTGATGTTTTGGTTGTAATATTCAACAACATTGCATAAGGAGGTCCAACACAAGAAAGCAAGGCAAAAAGATAGGGGTTGTGTAAAGTAGAGGGACTATATACAACCTTCCAATCACAACAAGTATCCAAACTGTTAAAATATAGCTTTCAACCCACTCATCTACATCGCCAAAAAAAAATACACAACAATTTTCTCTTTTCCCCAACCACACATAACATATTACCCCATTTACCATGTGTCACAAAACCCTGCCTGTCTTATTACCCCATCATCCTTTGCATTTCTTTCCCCCACTATCTGTAATTACATCCTCACATGTCAAAGCTTCTATAAAACTACCATGTTATCAGGTACGAGTGCGGCCTCGAGGCTTCATTCTGACATCGCATATCACACCAATAGACTCATCCCCTGCTCCTAGTTTCCCCCTCTCCTGGGATTAAACATATCCTTGCGAATGGCAGGGCGCAGTCGCTCGGTATCGCCGGGGTCCACAGTCGCATGGGCTCCTCTCCCCCATAGGACCACATCTATATAAGTGGCACTAATAGGCAGCACATTTGACATTGGCATTGAAACACTGAGCTCGGGACGGATGCTGCTAACGAGGGCTTCCTGTCCCTGTCTAACCTGAACTGTCACTCACACACGTAATTATTTATCGTGCCACCTTCACGTCGCATGTAGACCGTCGACTGAGATGATACCACAGGGCTGGGCGCAAGCAAGGGGGAAAAAACATCACAACAGCAAAGTTTACGCATCGAGTCCATGGCTCTACACAGTGGGGAATCAAACTCTCTGGATATAGATGTGAAAAAAGTGTCTTCTGCAATTCTCTTTGATTATACAATGCCTAAATCGTGCTAACATAACTTTTAGATAGGGACAGACAGTACAAATTAGCCTTGGCTATATATTTCGTAGTGTTTCACATCATGTACACTTAGCCCTAATAAATCAATGCATACATACATACAAATAAATAAATTGTTAGAAAATATATGTTAAGTTAGTAGTATGTAATCTTTGTGAATATACAGTGTTTCACAAACCATGGTCACCCAAAGTGGTTTACAATGTTCAGAGTTGAGATATTTAGATCTATTGTACAGGTTTTTTGTGGTATCCCATTATACTATGACATGAGCAAATTCTACATACACGCTTCAGTCCTTACAATGAAAACTCAAGCAACTTCAATTGTGTTGTTGTTGTGTTTTGCTAAATGTTCCGTCACTGGCCCTAGACAAATCACGGCAATGTATAAAAGAGACAAACATGATTCCAACACTGAGAACCCAACGTAATCACTGTTTCAACATTCGCAAAGCCTCCAACCACTTAAGAGCCTGAAGTTTCCGCGAAGAGATAATGTCTTAGCGCCACAAATACGTGTGATTATACAAATTGCCGCCAACCGATCAGATTGACAATAGAATAATCCCCCTAATTGACGCGATAATTGCGCAATTTGTGTAGAAACGTGTCATTGATTATTTGGGGGAGAAGAATGTATAGACCTTTCCAATGTGTGCACTCAAAACAAAGATGTGGCAGTATGTGTTGTGTGACAATCAATCAAACCCTGGTGAAAAGGTGCTCAAGAAAAAACGAGATCAGTCTTGGAAAAACAAGGAGCAACTCAGGCACACAACTTGTAAGCCACACAAATCAATCTTAATTATTATTTTTTTGTACATGGCCAAAGCCAACATGGTTTCTGGATGGTCTTCATTTTTTTCTTCAACCTTTAATTAAACAAGAAAATAAGAAGGTCCTGGGTTCAATACCACCTCCAGACGTTTTTGTGTGTGTTTGCATGTTTTCCCCATGTCTGGATAGGTTTCCTCCAGGTGCTCTGGTTTCCCCCTCCCACCTAAAAACATGTCCAATAGATCTGGTATGGGCCTGCTGTATGGCAACCCCGCTCCCATCTCTGTGTGGAGTGAAAGACGCTATATAAATAACATTTACTTACTTTCTTACTTACTTACTTATTATAGCAGATTCAAGATTCAAGAATTGATTTGCCATTTGCAGTAAAACCACATTGGACACTCAACATTCTACAACATTTATGAACATTTATCAACACATGGACATTGGTCTACTCCCAGTGGACCAATACCTATGTGTTCTATATTTTTTGGAACCCTTTTTTCTCTGATCTGTGTTGGCAATTTTACCCATTTTGTTAAGTCCTCTCATATAACTACTGTTGTGATTTAGGGCTAAACAAGAATACATTGAATTAAATTGAAAAACACATGTACACCCTCCAGCCTACAGCGCCTTGTAGTCATGGGTGGAGCATGTGGTCAAACAGCAGGGTTTTACTCCGTCACTCGTTTAGACTCGTTAGGCCAAGCCGTGTGAGTGAGTGAGTGACAAATGCAATTAAAAGGCTTTATCATCTGGAGCTGCCTGATGGAGAACCCAAACGTCTGCTGCATGGTAATAGGAGCCACCAGCGCAAACACTAGACTCTCACCCCACACTGAGTCCTGGTTAATTAAAACTCTGTCACTTCTTGCCCATTACGATGTGATTAGTATTTTCTGTTGTCATTAAAACGCACTGTAGATCATTGCTTTGTCTGGAGACAGGTCAAGTAGATGGCATTGTGATTAAGTGAGTATAATCCTTATTTATACAGCGCCTTTCACAGACCGGAGTCACAAAGCGCTTCGCAATTGTTGTGGGTATTTTGTCTCTCACTCCACACAGAGATTGGAGCGAGGTCGCCAGTACAGGATGTGCATGCCAGAACTATTGTACATGTTTTTAGTGATTGGGGAAACCGGTGCACCTGGAGGAAATTGGAGCAGACATGGAGAGAACATGCAAACACCACACGGATTAGAGACACCCAGATTTTCGTATCCAAACACACTTCATCCATGGGAATCCGTCAATTCCTTTTATGGCCTGAGGTCCTCAACCAATCTCTCAGGAAGAACCCAGCCACTCTAAGGAGGAAAACATATTTTAACCTATAACTCAGACAAATATAAGTGTCAGTAGAAAAAAAATATCAGAAAGACTAACAATTGTCCGTTTACCAAGTCGTTTTTTGAAAAGCTAGATACAGGTTATCAATCAATTAATCCTTTATTGTCTCACACAGATGGAGAAATTCAGTTCAGTTCAGTGCCATACAATTAAAGTGGGCAAATCCTTTCACGTTTACGGCATAACACGAAACAAGCCGTAGATTGTTACTAGAGGAATGCAAGTTTTTGACACATTTTCAAAACAAAGATAGTTTTTTTGCAAATGACCTCTTCGTTTAGAGAATAGTTTTACCCAAACCTACATAAATGACTTCAAACGCAATCACTAGACAAGCCTTTTTTTCACATTATTAAGAAACGACAACACAAAACACACACACACATACATAATGAGCAGAACATGTTTTGATCCTCCACAACATACACAGAATGGTTTAGTGAATGTACTGACTCCAAACCCAGGAGTGCCCGGGCCCCATGCTGCGAAGGGGACGGAGTGGCTTTGTCAATTACCACAGTGCACTGTTCTGCCGACATCCACTCTCCCTCTCACAGATAAATCGGTTTCACAGAGACACAAAGAGATGGTGGAAAATTCAGTTCAACACAAGCACTGATCATGTAAGCAGGAGATGGTTAGAGAGTCACCGAGGTACAAACAAGTTTTGTCGAGAGAAGGGAAGTCGACGGAGCTCTGACGTCAAAGAAAACATTATAATATTATGTATACGCTGCAAAAAGTGATGAAAAATAAGTCAATAATGCTCAAATTTGGCAAAATGTATGTTCATTTGAGCACATTTTGAGTGCCTTAAAACAAGATGTGTGAACGGGACAATCAATAGGATCTTGAATTTAAAAAGCTACAAGAAATGTGTCTTTTGGAATGAGAAAAAAAACCAACAGTTCTGGAAATAAAACTAAAATGGCTGGTTGCTGAATTTAGTTTTTCAAATTAGGATAAAACACTCAATTCAAGCAATTATTTAAGTCTCATTTAACTAATGGATAGAGCTGGGGGTACCTACATTTTAAACCTTTACACATGTAACATAACACTGTCTTTCTGTGTCCAAACGGATTCTCCAATATGTTTTTTTCGGAATCAACACTAAATTGCAGCCCTCACATATTCTTCATTATGAATAAAGGTTAGATCTAATTTTTCTAATATAATTGAACACAGTCGGTGCTTCTATATCTCCAATCCAAATGTAAAAAAATTGAATGGTGCACTTCCTGTCAAACACCACTTCTTACCAATGACAGTATTTATTCAAGCAAAAAACAAAGTCATATCCTGATGGATTTGAAAGCTTTTTTAGGATTGACCTGTGTCTTTGTATCTGATTATTTGGCAGAATTTCTCGTGCCATAGCAGAGGTCGGAGTCAAACTGGTTTGCAATAAAACAAAACAGTCTCTTTTGTGTAATGGGAATTTTGCATTTAAAAACAATGTGAATTTTGATGCCCACAATCACCACGAAACAGCTCACGTCCGACTGTTCTGTGATCGCTGAGGGCAGAAGTGTGAAATAACTGCTCATTCATGTGGGGATATTGTGCGGCTGGAGCTGGAGTTCGAATCGGCAACTTTTAATCAGGATCTGACCCCAAGCGAATCTCATATCAATGTCTGCACTGCACAATAAGCTAATGCTAATGCGGTGTTTGCTCGTGTATATTTCTGAATACATTCTCATTTGTCGACGTTGACCCCGGCGTTGCACTGTAAGTTCACGCAACGTTCACATTTACAACCTTTTGCACAGCTGCTTAAGAAATAAGATATTTTATCAAAAAACAGATAATTATCAAGTGGTGCTTTCAGCGCTGAATGTCTCTCAGTGTGAATGCAATAATCAGACCCAACAGAAGTTACATAAACTTTCATTATCTATTCTAAACTGCTTACCATACAAGAGAAAAAATGGAATCTAAGGCACTCGTATTTTTTATTTATTTTTTCTCAAAAATGGCTATTTTCAGGGCATGTAATTTGACTGAAGTGAAAAATATCCTGACGATGGCCCTACTTGGCCTAATTATTGATTAGGCCAAGGCTAGTTTTAGGGATTTGTATTTACGTGTCAAGAGTTCCCTGGAATTTTTCTTTTTTCAATATGATCCTAAGGGGCCATAAAGTGACCCACTGAAGCACTCACCTTTCTTCAACTTGCACCACATGCTTTTGTTTTGATATTCTGCATATTTTTATCTTAAAGTCGATCACGGTATAATATGTCAGAAGACAGTGAAATAATAGGGAATCTTGACTTATCCACGTTCATAAATTGTTAATTTATTCCTTTATTTTTTTTGGATTTAATTAGTCCATTTCTTGGTCAGGAGGACGGCCATCAGTGCCATCCAATCCACATAGCACTGGCCCCTCGCTGATCCTCCTGCAGGTGGTGGATTCAGCAGGGGATTCAGGCAAAGTGGGGTTTAAGCCTTGCCCAGGGACCAACTGGGCAAGTTTCTTATTAAGAAATGGTGCATACAATTGTGACAACGCAATTTCCCTTGAGGATCTATAAAGTCCCTGTCTGAGTCTAATATAACTTGCATTCTGAAGGTGGCCTGCCTTAAAAACTTCACGTCCTTCCACGGGTCTGAAGTTATGGCAGTTCTAGAAATGTTCTTCAGAGCGTTCGTAAACATAAAAAGTCATTTTAGTATTTCATGCATCACAATGAGGTCCTCAGTCGCACAGAGGAGCTGTCACTCTGCAGACTCCCCACCTTCCCACGCTCACATTTGAAGCCTCTTGCACACAAGCTGATTCCAAGTCGCTTTATTCATACTTCTATACATTTTTCTGCTATATTTACATGACTCATTTAAATGGCCGAACCAAAACCAAAACATGTTTTTTTAGAAGCTTTTGTATTGATTGTCTGCAAGCAAAGTTGAGCAGTTTTTGGTCCAATATCAAACATTATTAATACGTTATATAGGTATCCCTTGATTATAAACAATTTTTACTTAAAAGTCAGTTGTGCCTCGGACCTTATTTTTTTCCTCTTCAAATTGAGCTCTTTTGCATACGGATTCTGGAAGAGCACCTGCATAGTAAATATACCTCATTCACAGCCGCACTCACTCACCCTTGTACGAATATTAAACATTACTTTGCTTTCATGTGACATCACAACATTCCCCAACGCGTCTACAGTTTACATTGTAGAGGGCAGCCAAAATCTCATTCTTGATAACGATGGTAACTGTCAAATGGAGCTTTCGCGAAAGTTCACCGTGGTAGACCCGGCTGTTGCTGCCAGGCCACAGGCTGCTCTTCCTCGACTCATCAATACCAGCAACGCCCACACCCAGTCAACCAATAACCACACAGGACAGCAAGTTAAAAGCCGGAGACGCCCACTTCCCGATCTTCTGAAGTCTGCAAACTTCTGAAGCCTGCAAGGTGCATGTCGCTAACGCACCTGTTCGCAAATGCATGCGTTGTTCTGGAGGGGTCGCTTTCTGCTCACGTGTTGCTCGTGCGCGTGGCCCGGCTGTCCTCAGTCTGGCTGCTCGTGGTCTGCTCCTCCTCCGCGTCCCTGCACCTGCTATGGTTCGCGTGTCTCCACTGCTCTCCTCCTCTGCGGGCTCTTCTGCGGGCTGCTCCGCGGGGCCCCTCCGCGGTTCTGTGCTGCTCGTTCCTCGTGGTCTGCTGCCGCGCGCAGACGGTCTGGCGGTGCCGTGCGTGTCCCTGCCTCCGACTGGCGGTGCCGCGTTGTCCCGTTGCTTTTCCCAAGTCTCCTGGCATG